TAATCTATATTGTAATTTCTTTTTATTATATTTCCCGATTATTTTACTTTTCCTATATATTGTTATTTAATTTATTCAATAATTTTTAATATTATTTATTATGTATTATTATAATTGATAATTCTTTCAAGAAGAATAATTTATTCAATTTTTTATATTTATTAATTTTTTGTATCTATCATATTGTTAAATTTATTCATGAAATAGATATTATCGATTTCTAAAATAAAATTTGAGCTTGGTTATTGATTTATTTTAATACAATTACATTAAAACATTTTCAAAAAAAATTTTATATATTTATTTTAAAGATTTTATTATTTTTTCTGTTACGTAGGTTATTAATTTACTATAAGACGAGAAAAAGAAATTTCAATTATTTCAATAATCGTTCAACACGATGATTAATCAGATAAACAATAACATTTGATTTTTTATATGAAAAATATATATTTATAATAATATATATATAAAATATATAAATAATATAAATAATATATATAAAAAAATATTATACGAAAAATATATACATTTTTATTTTCTTTATTATTATTTTTTACTGTAATAATATTTATTTATAATTAAAAATATTATTCACGAAAAAGTTAAATGAAATTAAAATCATATTTAAATATTAAAGAATAAATATGAAGAAATAGAAAGAATAAAAAAACCAATTCGAGTTACTATTACTTTTATCACGGTTTATATTATATCGACTTATTTGATTCATCAAACGGATGATATTCGTTGACCAGCAGAGAGTTACTACAGCGGTATTATAACCGAATGCACGATGTCCACAACGATCACAGGAAGGAGCTAGAAGTCGTTATAAGACCACCGGAACTGGATTACCAAGCACGCGTGTCTCAATGACACTCGGGAAGAAATTGGAAGTCATTTTAGAACCACTGAAGCCGACTTACAGAAAACCGCATTCAATGTACAGAACTTATCTCAGATCAATAAATATCCAAAGATACTAATCGATAAGAGCGGACTGGCCATCGGAAATAAAGTATCAGTTCGATGATTCTTGCAATTATTGCGTGACGATTGATGAATAGTGAATTGAATTAGATTTAAAAAATAATTACTAAAAGAAAAAATTAACTAGCTATATAAAATCAATTAAGAAATATAAAAAAAATTATTAATCGAATAATTAATCGAAAATTAAGAGATATAGAGAATTTTATATTTCAATCGAAATTAGAGGGGGTGTTTTTGTACGAAATGCTCGCAATAAACTTAATCTATGTATCTTATAATCTTAACTTAATTTAAAATTAAGACGCATGCATCCCATGATGATCCCACGATGATCCAGCGACGATCCCACGATGCTCCCGATTTTAATAAAGTGGTACCTGCAGTCCAATCTAAATGATCAAAATATCCAAAGGAAAATTGGCACAATTTTCTAGATTGGACTGCAGGTACTGCATAGTTCTTAGTTTTAGTATCAATTTTTAAAAATTTATCTTTCTAAAATTTTCCAAAGAGTAATCTATGAAAATCGATATCAATTACTACTCCTTGTCTCACCATGAGAAGGTGACTATGCATCGAGATTCATCTAACGCTAAAAAATTAAATATATCAACAGTTAAATATATTAAGAACACATAAATAAAGTACGAGACAAAATTAATAATTAATATATCACTTATTATATAAATTAATAATTATATATTATTATATTAATAGGTGAATTAGAAAAATATAAAATATATAAATAATTGATAATTTAAATGAATTATAATTAATAATTAATGTTAAATAAATTATGAAAAAAACGGAAGAAGA